ATACATACATACATACATACATACATACATACATACATACATACATACATACATACATACATACATACATACATACATACATACATACATACATACATACATACATACATACATACATACATACATACATACATACATACATACATACATACATACATACATACATACATACATACATACATACATACATACATACATACATACATACATACATACATACATACATACATACATACATACATACATACATACATACATACATACATACATACATACATACATACATACATACATACATACATACATACATACATACATACATACATACATACATACATACATACATACATACATACATACATACATACATACATACATACATACATACATACATACATACATACATACATACATACATACATACATACATACATACATACATACATACATACACATACATACATACATACATACATACATACATACATACATACATACATACATACATACATTACATACATACATACATACATACATACATACATACATACATACATACATACATACATACATTACATACATACACACATACATACCAAATTATCTCTCTCTCTCTCTCTCCATTTACGGTTGTATATATATATATATCTATATGTGCATATCTGCATTGATAAGTTCAACTTGTTCCTGCTAGACAGGTCTTCTCCGAAAGTGGATAAGTTGTTGTTTGGCCCTGAGAAAGTTGGAACCCAGGAAAGGAAACAAATCATGGTCTCAGTCGCATGATACGAAACGAAACGGGTTGTACACCGGTTTTACAGGCTAAGCAAGGTATATGCTTTGGAAAAGCAGATACTCCTCCACAAGGTATAATGGTATAATCGCCCTCCAAGTCTGAGGTCCTTGATCTCGTGCTCAAAGTTGAGCGGCCAGCAGCTGAAATCAACAAAGCTGTCTGCCAAGAAATTTGGATTGTCTCTTTCCTTCGGCAACGCAAAACGTTTGGGGAGCTCCCCAACCTCTCCCGATGCATCAAACGGCTTTTCGAGAAGCGAAGGTGACCCTTTCCGAGGGCCCTTCGAAGCAACCCGAGGATAGAACCTTCGGGCTGTTCGGAAAGCTTCTGACTAGATGGGGGTTGTTGTGGTTGTTTTGTCTTGTTTTTTTGCTCTTTTTTGGTGGACCCCTCCTGGTTGGTATTCAAAGAGAAGCCAAAAGGACAGTTGTGGTTGTTTTGTTTTGTTTTCTTTCTTTTTTTTGAATGGTGGACCTTTTTCTGGCTATTCAAGGGGAAGCCAAAAGGACACCAATAGCAGACCCCGGTTTTGAGAAACACCCAAATGAAGTTCCCAAAGCCCCGGCGCATGAGCCTGCGCAGCGTGACCACTCCGAGAGGCGCGGCTTTTGTCTTAGGTCCGCGCTTTGCCGCTCGAGAGCGTCCGGCTTGCCACAGGCATACCAGTCGATTGAAGCTTGTAGCCCAGAGGCCCCTGGCCAGTGGCAGCCTCAAAGAGGCGGTTGCCTGTTGTCATCTCTTTGAAAAATACCCGGGACCCCGGAAACCGCGGTTTTACCAATTCGAGAGTCCCTGTCGTTTCTCAAAGAGGTCAACAGGCAAAACCCGCCTCAAAGTACCTGACGGTGATTTCGACCGCCAGGGCCGAAAAATGCCCGCGCGCCAACTTCGAGTAAGATTCACAGGCTCAGATCATTCACCAGCGCAATGTGCTGTGTGCGCTCTCTGGGTCGCTGAAGGTGAAACATGTGTGAGGGGGTTCAGAAGTACTTTTGGGACCTGTGACTTTAATAGCACAGTAAGATCCACAACTGTCAACCAGAATGAAGCGATCCCGCAGTCGGGCCTTCAATCGAAGCGTGTCATACAATCTACCACCCGCCCCCAATGCAAAATGAAGTATCTACCCACTATGTAGCCACTATCAGGGGTACATATGTACCTCCATGTCCCCTTGCGGTGTCTGAAAAAACATCTTTACCAGTGCTTCCAGTTGCCACTATAGTAGGTAACCAAACATTTTACCTCTAGGTTTTATGTGATGGTTTCCTCTGGTTGCCTACTACAACGGCTTTCCTGGAAGCAACGGGTCTGAGATAAGCCCCGTGGAATGGGGGTAGTGAAACCATCAATACAAACAACAACGTCAAGTTTCACGATGTGAGACTCATGACTTGACAATTCTAGGGGTTGATTCCCCACTCTTTTCAACCATCGCTCTTTTCAAAAGCCAGCCATTTTCCCTGGGTTTACGGAGGTTTTCTAGAAAGAAGGATCCCTGGCAAGAATGGGGAAGGCACCCCTAGAACAATGGCAAAACCGCAAAGTTGGCTCGTGGGCAGATTGTCAAGTTGGCCCAGGGGCGTGTCTCTTCAAAGCCGCCTCCAAGGCGAGTGGTGAGACGCCTGGTCGGCAGGTGACGCTGCCCTTGTCCGATTGAAACATCTGGAGGAAACCTCGGGCTCATAGAAACTTCTTAGAAGAGGTTCTTAGAAGGGCTCTCAGAACCTTGCTAGGGGGAGGGATGTCAGGGATTCCGAAGGTGGCAATGAGCAATAGGCGTTTGCAGCGAACATTAAAATGTGTGCTCACGCTTTTCTGTCCCAGAGTTCTGCGCTTCCCCGGGAGAGCGAGAGAGAGAAAGAGAGCAAGAATGTGTGTGTGTGTGGTGTTTGACACATATCCATAGGCGCCCCCTTTCAATTCCGTCCTGGAGCGCATCGCTTGAGGTCCATCTGTGCAAAGTACAATACACAAGCCAGAAAAATATGGGTGTCTTTTTGGAGGGGAACCCTCTTTGGGTTGGTGTAGGAGGAGCCCAAAAGGAAAGCTTCTCTTCTTCTTTTTGGGGGGGACTGGCTCTAAAAACAGACTAGGATGCAATTTACAAAACCCCCGTTGCTAAGCCTGGTCTAAGATTCGAACTCCAAGCGGTGAGCTAGCTGCTGGATGCTTTCTGGGATAGGGGCAGTGCTGTATTGTCTGTTAATACGGCTCCCTGCCAGCGCTGGCAGCTATAATCACAAGACGATCCGGAGTGGCTGCACGTTGACACTGGCAAGGGTGAGTGCTTCGTGGCAACAATGACCTTTTCCACCATATATGTGTATATATATATATATATATACCATATATACATACATACATACATACATACATATGTATATATATACACAAATACACACTGTATACAGATATAATAATCTCATTCCACATAAACCCTTACCTTTTTGGGGTCAAGCTGGCCCTCGAACCCGCAGTGCCCATCCTGCTGACCACTCCGTCTCCGCGCTGACGCACTGCGCATTTCTGCCTCTTGAGCCGTCCGCACGAGCTCGTGACGGGACTCTGCTGCAGACTTGTTTTCAGGAGTGAACATTGTTTACAACAGGGATCCTTACATTATACACCTGAACATTGCCGTGTAAATGGTGGTGTCCCTTTATTTTGGTGGAAAATGCCATGTTTCAAATGGGCAAGATGTATCTTTTGAGGATTACAAAACATGGTCTTTCCAAGACATACAAAGTCCAGGAATGCGGGAACTGAGAGCAAGTCATGCTTGTCTGCCAAATGTTGAAATCGTGCGGCTCTGGACGGCTACAAGCAGGAGATGCATGCGCAAACTTGGAAAAATGTGTTGAAATCTGGCCCAAGCCAGCGCCCCGAGCAAGTCCGGGAACAAGCTATATACTCCCAAAAATGCAAGCAAAAAGGCAGCTTGATCTGCCCCTTTCATGCGAAGCAATCGGAATCCAATCCGAACGAGTCCGACTTCTCGGGAGCAAGTTTCTTTGGGCTGATTTCCATGGCATTGTCACGGTGCCATGCCAACCGCACAAGCCCTTGGATTCTCGCGCTCGAGGGCACAAGACATCCTTGCAAAGAGGGATAAACAAAAAAGACGGTGCGCACCATCAACCCCACATGGAAGAAGCAGGTTGCAGCCAACACTTCCATTTGCTTTTTCGCTCTCTGGAAAAAACTATTCAAACAACCCGCGCTTTTTGCTTGACACGGAGAATCCAAGGCGCGATGGGCTGATGGCACGGCAAGGTCAGGCCCATCACAAGGGATGAAGTCGCCACGCATGCGACGCGCAAGCGAACTGCTGCAAATATTCATTGTCTTCCAATTCTCACATCGCCAGAGAACAGTTCGTGTGAGCCAATGACAATACTCGGCTCCGCCTTCGTTGGTCTCCTGAAAGGCTAACATAGTTTAGATTGGTCACACCACTCCTTCCTCAGGGCAAGTATGGTACAAAGGCTTCCACTGGGACATTCTGCAAAAACTCGTGCCAAAAAACAGAAACATGACTGGGCCCTCCCCGTACATAAACCCCGCTAAGACGCGCCATCGACTGATAGTTTCTGTAGCCATTCAAGGGTGATCTTCCTTTTGATTGGGGAGTCTCTGAGTCTCTGGCGCCGATTTGGTTTCCCGAAAAGGCCACACCAACTCCCACCAGGCACAAACGTTCTCCGCTTCACCGAGGTGTCCTGTTCTTCGCCCCTCGCAACTCCTCACCCCTCGCAACCACGGCCGCGGAAGACGTTGTCTTCCCTCGTTGCAATCGGTGCGCAGCATTCGGCCGGATCCCAACAGCCCACGGTTTTCGTCCGGGAAGCTGAGCTGAATCTCTGCACGGCAGGAGAATTTGGACATGTGAGTTTTTTGTTCGGTCGCCAAATCCACGCTCTTCTTAGCCATGTTTTTTTTCCCCGGAAAAGGTGGGTTTGAACATCGCCTGTTGAAAAGGCTGACTCAAAGCAGCCTGGAAGTGGAGTGCTTGTCTCATGCAATGCTGTACCTGAGGTGTGTAGTGATTAGCTTGAGAATGGCGGCACGCAACTTACTCTCCTGTAATGCGGGCAAGTACGCCGATCCGTATTGCAGTTTCTTCACCTACACTTCACGAGCTCAATCATACAGTTGCCTTAAACCTTGTCAAGTTGATCCGCATTGCGGATCATTGCATGAGATGCGCCCACCACAGCCGAAACCCTCCCGCTCCGGCCGCCGAAAAGGATGGGCCGCTGGGATCGTAGCCTTGAAACGGAGAATCGCTGCCACAGTGCCACGACCGAGGCCCCAAAGGCCGCTCACTGCCTCGAGTCGGATCAGAACACAACCCCCCTTCTCACTTGGAGCGGTGGATTTCACGCGCCTGGTGTTGTCCCAACAGCAAACAACAGCCATCATTTGGCCATGGGTGAAAATCCAAGTCATACCCCCAAGTGAACATCCCAATCCCCACTAAGATAGGTTCTAAAATGGGTGGTGAATTCACCAAGCAAAATGGGATCCCAAAACGGTTTTGACCACCACAGCCATTCTTGTGAAAACCCTTCTGGCTGCGCTATGCTCGCATGAAAAAAACAAAAAAGTGGAGGCTGGGCACCGAGGCAAACCCGACTCAAGTCCAAGAGCTTGGCTCGGTTTGCCATCTGCTTGTCGAAATTCCCAGCAACATTGGCCCTTGGTTGACGTTGGGTTGGGGGAGCAAAATGTTTCTCAAATTTTAGCAGTTAAGTGGTTGGATTTCCACCACTAAACCACAATAAGCAAAAAGAAAATGTGTCCCAACAACAACCACGCCGTGGAATGGCCTCCCCATCTTCTAAAGAATTGGAAATGAAGAGACTAGTTGAATCTTTCACCGCCCTGGACAACAAACAGCCAGAAACCAGAAGCCCAGAGCCCCGCAAGAGCAACAGGCTCAAAGCCCAAAGAGCACGATCAAGCCCCAGAGAAATGAACCGACACCCGGAACAGGGCGTGATCGAAGGGCATCCAAACATGAAATTTCTGGCACACCCAAGCTTGCTCTACGTGTAAAAGGTAGACGTAGAGCATGAGATCAACGTGAAATCGGCGCAAAACGTGTAACAGCGACACCCAGCTTTTTCTACACATAAGCAAAGGTGGTCCAGATTGGTCTGGCCATCTCCCTCAAACGGGCTGTGATCGGCGTCCTGATTCTTGGGTTCAAGAGCGACCAGGAAAAATGGGACGAAGGAAAAGACGGGACCAAATCCGGAACACAGAGAGAACAATCACATTTTTATTTATTTTTTTCTACATTGCACCGATTTGCACCAACCGCCCGGAGGAACGAGGAAAAAAAAAGAAAAAGGAAAAAAACAACGGCCGCAACGTCCCGACGTCCGAGCCGACTCGCTCGCCGACTCGCCGACTCGGCTCTCGAGGGGCGAGAACTGCTTCACGGTCTGCTGCGCCACCTGGGCCTGCTGCGCCAGCTCCACCTCTGTGGCGCAGGCCGCCTCGGACCGAGGGACCGAGCCGAGGGATGCCGGACGTCCCGCGTCCCGGAGGGACCGGAGGGCAATCCGCTTCCCCGAAAAGGCCACCGCGGCCGGTTTTCACCGAATTTGCCGGATGGCAATTTGCCGGTGTTTGCGGCGTAAACTAAGGCAAAACCCAGAAACAAGAAAGCAGAGTCGTTGGAATGCCCAGGTACCTCTCTGGACAAGCTCTTGCTTATTTTGTCCGGATCCTATGTGGATTCCCCCTTGTCAAGTACTGGGGTGGTAGATGGAAGCACTGGGCAAGCTTTACCGTCTTGCCGCTTGTCTGGAAAAAATGCACGGACTCTGGCAAACCGACAAGAACAACACCTTCGCGCGGAAAAGGCTCGTAGTTCACCGACCACAAGTATAAAACCGGCCAACAAAAACGACGAACCAGCAATTTGTTTATGAAACCGACCAAAAAGACAAAAACCACAAAACACAGGGAGAAAGGCCCCGACCAAACCACAAAAACGGCCAAAAAAAACTATGTTCAAAACCCAAAAGAGCCGCAAAAATACGCGAAGACGACCACGACCACCGGCTCGGGGCTCGGCCGTTTTCGGCTCGAACGGCCGAAAACCCCGGCCTCCACGGCCTTGGCTGCAGCAATGGCCTTGGCCGCGAGGTCCGCGGCGTCCTTGTGGGCCTTGGAGCTCGACCGAAAAAAACAGAAATCGGAGGAGTCCTGGGGCTTCCATTTCGACTTAGTGTGGCAAAGCTTCTGGACGTCCATGTCCATTTCTTTCCAGGGAGTCCGAATCTTTCTGGAAAACCACCAAGAACCCCCAGAAAATGGGCCAGAGATGCGGCTGCTTCTTGGCCGGGAAAAGAAAGGCGGCCCTTTGGGACATGAGTTGGAAATGGGTGTGGTTCCTTTACCCCCCCAAACATGGCCACCAAAAGGACCCCTTTTTTTGGAGAACACGTCAGTGACTACTGTTCAAGAATCCATGACCTTGGCAACCTGTGGTCTTTTGACCATGCCACATATGGGTTCGTGTCAGCCTTGCATCTCTCCCCGACCCGCCTGGTCCTTGGCATAGTCCGCAGCGCGGAGCGCTGCCTAAGAGGAGCCATGACTCTCGCTTTCGTGGGGCTTCTACTCCCCTTTCATGGCGCTGTGAGTTTTGAGATTGCCGTTTTCCAACAATGGAGGAAGACGAGGTGGGGCCGTCTCAAGAGGTAGTCGTCCAAAACCCTCCCATCCACTTGAAAAGGAGGCTCATGGTCCTTGGCGCCTAATAGACAGTGCGAATGGCTCCTTTGCTAGAACTCTGAGTCAGGCAACACCATGGGTCGTTTCATTTGTACGCATAGCGCCATAAATTTGATGTTCAGATCCCACTTAAAGCTCAGGTTTTGGCAAGTCCGAAGCCCCGAGGCGAACCATCTATTCAGTTGGCACTCCCTGGAGGGCTATGAGGATCTCTTTCCAGCCTTTCCTCCGCCCACAGAAAGTGCGGAAAGAGTGTACATGTTGGGAGGGAATGAGGGGAAAACCAACATCAGACCAAGCATTTCCAAGATCCCTGCTCCGCACGCATGCCCCGGTCAGCACACATGCCGGCCAAATGGTATTGTGTGGCAACTGAATGTGCCTGTGGGCCAGTCTCTGCATTGTGCATATCCGGCCATGAGGCGGCCGCATGCATTCCTACATGCAAACATATATATATATATATATATATATACAACTGTAAATGTTTGTATGCAAACGTGTCCGTGCATGTGCACGCATTCGTTCTTGCGTGCCAGCGAGTATATGCAACATATACACTATATATAGTTCTACATAATTTGTACACGTACACTTACGTGCAAACAGTCAGAATCATCGGCCGAATGATTTGGTCCAAGAACAGTTCACCCTCGAGTGGCTATCTGCTTACTTGCCGAAGAAACGGAACTCTGTTCTTTATGGTTTCAAAGAAAAGCCACGGGGCGACTGTGCGCTGACCCGGCCTTCGAATCGTGGGCGGATTCCGGGGGATTCCCTTGCTAAAGTGGCAAATAAATTTGATTCCCTTGGGTCATCCCCGCTTCAGGTGGCAACTCAGATCAGGATTGGTCAACAAGGTTCGGCGTTGATCCCTGGCAACCCACCTGCTTGCGTTTCTCTGAACATGGCAGTCAGCCCCTGCGCTAGCTTAAAGTGTTCAAGGCCGGTGTTTGGTTGCCTTGGTACAATCGACTGTTCGGCTTCATGGATTTGCTTTGCGGTGTGTTCATGGTTCCCACGTTTTTCAAGGGAACCGATCATGACTGGTGACAGATTCTACATACATGGGCTATATACTCTAGATAAGGTTCCCTTCTTGGCTTTATCTCAAAGCGCACTTCCTGAGTGGCCCAAGAACGTCTAAACTGTCGATCAACCCCCCAAATCGTCTTCTCAACAAGTGCAAACTCTCATGAGACAGCTACTTGCCATGCGAAAGTCCAAAACAAAGTTGTTGGGTAAGTCACTTAGTGAGTCACTGGAACTTTTGGAGCCCGAAACCCATCGCCGAAACCCGCGTGCGCCAAACCGAGAGCGGAGCTCGCAGCTAGTTGCGCCGCGAGCTATGCAGGGCCCCTCCCAGGGCCCCGGCGAACTTCGCTTGGTCCGCCGCCGCGCGGAGGCCCTGGGCTTCCTTGATGGCCTCAACTTCGGATCGATCCAAGGAGCTGCTTCTAGATATGGCCATGGGCTTTTCAAAACCCAAATCGTACCGTGAAAATCCCAATCCAACCACTAAAATAGACTACTAAAATGGGTGAATTCACCAACCAACCAAAATGGTACCATTGGTTTTGACCCACAGCCATATAGGGGGAACTCTGCAAATGGGCCTTTGGGGTTCCATTTCAAGCTGGGAAGAGTACTCTGGCTGGTTCTCAAGTGATCCTTGCCACCCGTTGAAAAACACAAAGGAAACGGTTTGGAGTACATCCCGGAGGACATCTACATGTTTGGGGGCCATGTATGTGTCCAACAAGGTTTCACTGTTGCTTGCAGGTCCTCAGGGAATCAGTTCCCGGATTTGGGAACCAGTGTGATGGTTCACGGGATCATCCCAACTCATTGCCTGCTGCCTTTTCAGCAGGGAATGAGCCTCTCGCTCAGCTATCAGCAGAAGATCCCCAGATCCCAGACTCTCCGGCTTCATAAGCATGGCTTGCTCCCAAAACAGGGGATTGGTCGATCCATCTTAAAAGGCGTCGATCCAAAAGGGTTGTTTGGGCTCTATGACCTGCAGCGCGGAAGACGCCCGAGGTTCAGGGCCCGCTGTGATAACCTTCTAACCCTGGAGGCTGACAGCCGCTTTGGACGGAAGCCTCTGTCACGTCCACTTCGATGATTCTTGGAAAGAGGGTAACGTTTGGAGTCCCTTTCTATCACAGAAAAAGGCGACCTGAAGCCTGAAACCCTAGCCTTTTCAAAAGAATGGCAGTCCGTTCATACGGTAGATCTCCCCTTTACACATCACACCACCTCGGGTGAGAAACCGAAACGGAGAAACAACATAAAGCAAAACGAACCGAACGTGTTTCTGAAAGCCACGCTAGCGAGCAACAGATCAAATTTGAACTCTGAGTTTGAAGGTATGTGAAAGGCGGGTTGAATTGGCACCCCTCAGAGCAGCCATGCAGCCACGAAACAAAACGGCTGAGGGCAACTTGTGGATGAATTCTGCGAGATTCCGGCCCGCAATCACTGCGCTCCTTCTCAACCACACCATGTGAAAATCATGTTCTTAACACAAAAGCCTTTCAAATGTTCCTTAACAAAAACAAACCTTGACTGAACTTGTTTGATGTGGACCAAAACCTGTTTCACGTCAAAAGCCGAAGGCTTTTCAGTGCTTCCCTCGAGCCGCTTTTAATGTTTATATATATATATATATGTCTGTTTGCTTGCTTGCTTGCTTGCGTGCGTGCGTGCGTGCGTGCGTGCGTGCTTGCTTGCTTGCGTGCGTGCGTGCGTGCTTGCTTGCTTGCGTGCGTGCGTGCGTGCGTGCTTGCTTGCTTGCTTGCTTGCCTGCCTGCTTGCTTGCTTGCTTGCTTGCTTGCTTGCTTGCGTGCGTGCGTGCGTGCGTGCGTGCTTGCTTGCGTGCGTGCGTGCGTGCGTGCTTGCGTGCGTCCTTGCTTGCTTGCTTGCTTGTGTGCGTGCGTGCGTGCGTGCGTGCGTGCGTGCGTGCGTGCGTGCTTGCTTGCGTGCGTGCGTGCGTGCTTGCTTGCTTGCTTGCGTGCGTGCGTGCGTGCGTGCTTGCTTGCTTGCTTGCTTGCTTGCTTGCTTGCTTGCTTGCTTGCGTGCGTGCGTGCGTGCGTGCGTGCGTGCTTGCTTGCGTGCGTGCGTGCTTGCTTGGGTGCGTGCTTGCGTGCGTGCTTGCTTGCTTGCTTGCGTGCGTGCGTGCGTGCGTGCGTGCGTGCTTGCTTGCTTGCTTGCTTGCTTGCTTGCTTGCTTGCGTGCGTGCGTGCGTGCGTGCGTGCGTGCGTGCTTGCTTGCGTGCGTGCTTGCGTGCGTGCTTGCTTGCGTGCGTGCGTGCGTGCGTGCGTGCGTGCTTGCTTGCTTGCTTGCTTGCTTGCTTGTTTGTTTTATTATTTTACAAAAAAATGCTCAAGCCACTTCAGCCCCCCCCCCACCTCCCTCCGCTTCGAGCCGGGGACCCGCGCCTGGTCTCGGGCCACCCTCGCCTGGTTGGCCGCCGCCGTGAGCTGTGCCGCGCGCTCCTCGCTCGCTCGAGGCGCTCGGCACCGCCCACCGACCGGGGCGCTTGGGGGAGGCGGGCGGGGAGGGAGGCGGTGCACCGGAGCTTCACCGGTTGACCCAAAAAAAAACGAGAAAAACACGGGCGGTGTGTATGGAAGCTCTTACTTTTGGTGGTTCCAAAAAGGAAAAGAAAGATAGCCTGCTGGAGTTGGGGACCTTTTGTTTTCCTGAACAAAAAACAAGAACCTACTGGTGTCCATTGAAACTGCCCACTTTTGGTGGTGTGTGTTGGAACTGCCACTTTTGCTGGTGTGGATTGAAGCTGCCACTTTTGGCGGTTCCAAAAAGGAAATTGGGGAAACCCTGCTGGAGTTGGGGAGTTCCCCAACCTTTGAAACTCCCTCAAGTTTGGGGGCCCCTCAATTTTGGAGGTCTGGATTTTCATGTGACCATGCTTTTCATTCACTGCAAACATGGGATGTCCGTGGCACCAGAACCCTGTTTGAGATCGGATTTTCAGTTTCCCTTCTGCCAACCTGGCGCTGCCCCATTGGAGGTTTAGCCCGCTTCGTAAGAAGGGTCACCGCTGTTGTTTTTTTGTTCGGGTGGGGTGAGGTGGGGTGGGGGTGGGGGTAAGGTGTGGGGTGGGGTGAGCAGTTCGGATGTTGGCTGATCACACGGCAAGCTGGGCCTTGACCTCCTTCTTCGGTACAAATCGCAGAGAATTTGGGAACTTTTGGATGTTCAACCCACGTAGGTAACCGGAGCTGACCCAAGTTACCCCACTTAGAAGCATGGTTGTATCCTACTTACTCAGATTGAACATTCAAGTATGGATCCCCAAGGTTATAGAATTATAGTGGTCATCCCCTGATGCTCTGCCCAAGTAAACCCCTTTGTACACTCGTGTTTTCTGGCTAGAAACTGCGGACGGGCACATGTCAAACGCGTGCGACAGGGCCTTTAGCCACCAGGGTTGGCAACCCTCATCTCAACTTGGGGCTCGCTGTTTATCGTTCGATGTTCTTTGACTTTCCGGGGGTGTCCAAACTGATCCCCCGCTAAAAGCTTATATAACTTGTGGACAAAAAAAAACAAACCAACTAAAACAACTAAAGACCTCAGGAACCGAACTTGAAGTGCTTGGATGCCATGCTCAATTTGCAGCGCAACCCCTCCTCCTTTTTTTTCTGCAACTTGCGGTCAAGATTGCTTGGCCACTGACCTTTTCTGAAGGGTGCTGGCACATATGTAAAATAGCAAGCCTTCGTGGAGTTGTATCCGTTTGTATTTGCCCCGACAAGAGTTCTGTTTATCAACTAGGTTCCCATGTCCAATATGTGTAGCCTGAGCTACTAGCTACATGCTGAAGCTTTGTATAGCTCCCCCTTTCGTTTAAACGCTCTTTGGGAAAAGTGAGAGTGGGTCCAAAACACAGAGGAGCCCAATTGGGATTGTTCCACTTTCGTTTAGCCCCTTTTGACTTACCCCCCCGCTTCTTCCAAAAAGACATGCCTATTAAATAGGCCCCCCCTGTTTTTGGAAGACGTGTGGGGGCCGGGGGCTCGGCATCGCTCGAATTCCGACTTGTCGTTGCGCCTCGGCCACCTTCTTCGCCTGCGTGGCGGCGCCCTCCTTGCCCTTGGCGGTCTGGATCGCCTGCTTGCTGGTCTCCTGATCTCCGAGAGCTTGGTCTTCGCGAGAACCCCCCGAAAAGCCCCCTGCATAGGCTGAACCATGAGGCAAAAGCAACAACACCGACGAGTCCAACAAAAAACCTGGTCTCTCGGAATTTGTCGCACAGGGTTCTCGCAGATGGGAGCCTCATGTTCCAATTGTCATGCTTCAACAACCTAGCCCGCGTGAGAGCACACTCTCTTTTCTCGCCCAGTTTTGGGCGCGGAAAACCGCAGCTTGGAACCTTTCAGAAGAGACAACGCCTCATTTGCAACATCAACGTAGCATGCATCACGTTTGCTTGCAGTTCCTTCGGCGAGGCGAGCACAGCAAACACGTTTCATCCCGCAGGATGCGGCACGGGTTGCAAGACAAGGCTCGAGGCCGCGTTCAGCCGGATATGTTTCCACGTGTTTTTGCGGAACTCAAGAGGGAACCACCCATGGATGCAACACAAATCAAATCCAAACTCAGACCAACCCAGCCTCCAGCCCAAGAGCTTCTATCAACCTCTTGGGGAAACCTCCCTTTCAAGCGACCTGGGGTAGCGTCGGTGCGTCCTCGGAGGCCTTGATGTCCGCCTCCAGCCTCGCCCTCTCCACGTCCTTGGCCTTCAGCGCGGCCTGCGGGCGCGCCACGCGCGCCACGGTTTCCCCCGGGGGGGAGGTCTTCAAAGGGGCAAGCCACGGCGGTCGGCAGTGGATCCAATGGGAATCCATGTGGCCATGGGTCAAAAGCCAAATCGTACCGTGAACATCCCAATCCAACCACTAAAATAGACTAATTTGGGTGGTGCACCTAAAATGGTACCATTGGTTTTGACCACAGCCATGTGGGTCCCGGGAGTATAGGTAGACTCCCCTCAGACTACCAGCCGGAAGCTCCCCCACTTGGCCACTGCAAATGGATTTCATGTCGGGGTTCTGGGAGCTTCCATGCAATCGTTTGGGGGCGGGCAACCATCGAAACACGAATGGATCCAGCGTCCAAGTGTACGCTCGCTATGGGACAACGGGCCAAGGGCCTGTGGAGGCCGGAGCCAAAGGATTCATTGGAAACTGTATTGCAGGCAACCCAGAAAACATGTCTGGATCCATTTACTTGATTGCCATCCCAGTGTAGGCAACCGGGGGGCTCCAGAAACATGGCACCTACTGTACTGTGCTGGTCACTAAATGGGTTGAGAACAGAATATGGCAACCTACAGAAGCACGTGTCCCACCATGACCCATTTATTGATCAGTCACCCGCATTATGAGGGAACCAGCCCAAAGCTCTCCAAAGCTCTCAAACGGTCTCTCTATCCAGGCTTCCCTATCACCTCTACCAAAGAAAACTTACCTCAAATGGGAACAAACAAGTGATGTTTAACACCTTGCTTCAAGGCAAATGTGGGTGCGTCGTTTTTCTGGAGGCCCCCCTTCAAAGGAAGCGCCACCAGAAAACCGATGTGTATTTGTTTTTCTCTCGGCGGGGCGGATCGATCCCTCGCTCCTGCAGCTTCATCACCTCCGAGGCCAAGTCCGAGTTCTCCTGCTCGCTCTCCTGCAACTTCAGCCTGAGCTCGCTCTCGCTTTGAGCGGAGACAGCGGGGAGACCCCGCGACGGGAAAGGGCCTTTCAAGCGAGAGCCTGAAGAAAACGTGTGGCACATGTGCCATCACATAGCCGACACTTGGAGAAGAGGTGGTGCTTCATGGCAGGTACGGAAAACGTGCAGCCCGCATAAAGAATCAAACAGCATGTTAATAAACCCCTGTGCATCTGTATCGGTGGGGGGTGTCCGTGGTTTTAGTGGGGGTTCATCACTTTTGCAGGGAACACCCCCTTAACAAATTGGGGTTTCATCAGTCTAGGTCACATGCCAACCTCCACCGGGCCCGACCCTCTTTGGTCCATGCGAATGAACATCTGGGGCCGCCCGGCGACAGGACCTTCTCGTTGGTCGCTTGGCCCTCCAGCATGCCGATGCGGCCCTCGCCACATTCAAATCGGCCGAAATGGGTGTGTGTGTCAATATAGAGGCAGCCCAAAAGTGCAAAGCAACAGAACGCACCAAACCAATTCCGGAGCCTCCCCGAAACCAACTCCGATCTGCCTGGGCAAAATGTATCTTTTAAGGAGCCCTGCTTCACTTGCCCGGGTTTTGAGCCATTGGCTCTCGTTATCTTTGGGAGGCTACCCAGCCGAACGAGACGCGAGACGCGCCGAATGGTCCTTGAGGTTCTTCTCATCTGCCTCCATCAACGGGATGATCTGCTTCAGAGCCTTCTCCCTGAGACAAGCTCGGCGTCTGAACACTCCGGAAGAAAACACACCCAAACCAGGGAACGCATCCAAAAACAAAAAGATTCAGAAAAGGGGCCCAGACAAAAAGCAATGGCCAAAAAGGCGGCTTTGTTTTGACTAAACCTGTATATATGTATATGTATATGTCAGAAGTCGATTAGTTGACGCACATTCAAAGCCCCTACCTACCTTCTGCATGAGAAACATCTGATTAATTCTTCGAGCAGACTGACTGTTAATGTGTCATGTTCAGGACAGTGGCTTCCTGCTGTGGGGAAACCCGTCGAAATTGGCCCCATACCATGATCAAAAGCTGGTGCTCAGCAGGGAACGAGGGAATGAGCCCTATAAACCATCCTTTGTGATTTCCTGTAAGGAGACCCTGGGTTCATTCCCAACACTCAGGCTCGGTCGTTCCCTACCTATCACACCAGTAAGACAACCACCATGTTTTCAGGCCTTGGATCCCCAACCGTGAAACACCATGGCAGTCTGCGCTTTCCGTTCGCGAGTCGCACGGGTCTGAGCCAAGCGCCTCTCTTCGCACTTCTTGAAACTCTCCTGGCAGCCAGGAGCATCTTGAAAGAACCTTCCCAGTCAAGGGAAGGATTTCCTGGAAAACGATGATGCCGGAGGTCAACACGATTTCCATATGGGCGCGTCTCTTTTTAGGAGTCCGATCCCCGAAAATGGCTTCGGGTTGTTGTCCTTTTAAAACCACGAAGAAGGGGTACCCTCAAAAAGACTGAACGTTTTGGCGTGCAGGCCATGAAAACTCTTCGCTTTACCTGCTGCCACCCACTCCCGTCTCTCAATCCTGCCCCCATAGCTCCCACAAAAATCAATTCCTCTCCAGCTCACGAGAGGAAAGGAAAAAAGAACGAAGAAAAATCATGGTGTTTTTTTTGTGTTGGATTTCTTCTTGAGCAATCCCGAAGCAATGGCCGGTAAGGGCCAATCCTTGGAACCCGTGCAAAGCCTTGTGGAGTGCTTGGGGATCAGGGTGTCGTTCAAAGAAAAATCGAGCAACCCTTTGACATGTCTTTCCCCAAATCTCAAAACGGACCCAGGTTGCCTTTCGGCTTTCATGTTGCAACCGACCGGGCAGGAGAGACATACATTGTTCTGAACACTACCTTCAGAGTCTCTCGG